ACCATCCCTCATCCATGATCCATCCCTTATCCATCCATCCCTCCATCCCTCCATCCATCACCATCCCCATCCCTCCCTCATCCTTTTCCCTCCATCCATCATCCTCCCTCCATCCAATCCCTCCACTCCATCCATCCCTCCATCTCCATCCACCACCTTCCATCCACACCATCCCTCCCCATTATCCACCATCTCCCTCATCCTCCTTCCCCCATCCCTCCATCATCCATCCTTTCCATCCCTTTTTCCATCCATCCATCCACCTCACCTTTCCCTCCCTCCATTATCCATCCCTATCCTCCACATCCATCCTAAACCATCCCTCCATCCCAACCTCCATCCACCATCCATCCATCCATCTCCATCCCCCCCTTATCCTCCCTATCCATCCCCCAACCATCATCCTCCTCATTTTCCCATCATATCCATCCATCATCCATCATTCATCCAAACCCCCATCCCTCCATCATCCCTCCCCCATACATTCATCCATCACCCTCCATCCAATTCCATCATCCATCCATCCTCCATCCCCTCCATCATCCCCATCCATCCATTATCCATCCATCCTCCCAATCCCCTCCCCCATCATCCTCCTCCATATCCTCCATCATCCCTCATCCCTCCCCCATCCCTCCATCCATCATCCTCCATCCATCCATCCCTCAAATCCATCCATCCATTTTTCCCTCCATCCACATCCATCCATCCATCCATCATCCATCCATCCATCCCCCTTATCCATCCATCCTCATCCCATCCCTCATCCATCCCTCATCCCCCATCCACCTTTCCATCCATCCTCTCCATCCATCCCCATATCCATCCATCCATCCTTATCCATCCCCCCATCCATTTCCCTCATCCATCCATCCATCCATATCCTCCATCATCCATCCACCCTCCAATCCTCCATCCATTATCATCCCATCCACATCCATCATCTCCCTCATTCCATCCATCCATCCATCCATCCATCATCACATACCTACATTCTCCCTATCCATATCCATCATCCCTCCTCATCCCTCCATCATCCATCCATCCATCCATCCACATCCATCCTCCCTCCCTCCATCCATCATCCCTCCCTCCATCCCTCTCCATCCATCCACATCCACCACCCTCCCTATCCATCCACATCCATCCACCATCCATCTCCATCCTCCCCCACCTCCATTACCATCCTCAAACCATCCACCACCATCATCCACAAAACCATTCATCACCATCCTCTCCACCTCATCCATCATTCCATCCTCCATCCATCCATCACCACCCCCATAATCCATCCATATCCCCTCCCCCATCACCACCCATCCATCCCTCCACCCCTCATCCCCCACCCTACATCCATCCATCATCCATCCATCCTCACCAAACCTTTCCCCAAACCTCCCTCCACCATCCATCATCCATCCCCCACCATTATCCATATCATCACCATCCATCCTCCCTCATCATCCATCCACCATCCATTCATCATCCATCCCTCACCATCCATCCATCCCCCATCCATCATCCCCTCCATCCCCCTCCATATCCACATCCATCCATCCTCCCTCCATTTTTCCATCCATCATCCCCCATCCATCCCTCCCCCATTCATCACCATCCATCATCCATCCATCCTCCTTATCAACCATCATCCATCCATCCATCCCCCATCCATCCCCTCATCCACCTCCCATCCCTTATCCACCCTCACCATCCTCCATCCATCCACATCCCTTTTTCTCCATCCATCATCATCCATCCCTCCCTTCCCTCCATCCATCTCCACCATTCCCTCCCATCCATTTCCTTTATCCATCCACCATCCATCCATCACATCCATCCATCATCCATCCATCCATCCATCCATCCCCTTATCATCCACCCTCATCCTCCATCCATCCATCATCCACCACCTACATCCCTCCATCATCCATCCCTCCACATCCATCCTCATCCATCCATCCTCCATTCATCATCCATCCCTCACCATCCATCCATCCCTTACCACCCCTCATCCATCCTCCATCCCCTCCATCATTCATCCCCTCCATCCTCCATTTCTTCACTATCATCCCCTCCATCCATCCCCTCCCTCATCCACCTCCATCCATCTCCATCCCTCCATCCATCCATTACCATCCATCATCCCTCCCTCCATCCTCCATCATCCATCATCCCCTCCTCCCTCATCCATCTACCCTCCATCCATCAACCCTCCATCCATCCATCCTTTATCCATATCCTCATTATCCATCCCTCACCATCCCATCCATATCCATCATCCATCCATTCATCATCCATCTCCCTCCATCCCCTCATCCATCTACCCTCCCTCCCTCCATCCATCCCCATCCATCCTATCCATCCATCCATCCTTTTCCACCTCATCCCTCTCCACCATCCACCATTTTCATCCATCCATCACCCCCCATCCATCCCTCCCTCATCCATCCTCCCTCCATCATCCATCCATCTCCACCATTATCCATCCAAACCACCTCCATCCCTCCATCCATCATCCATCATCCATCCATCCATATCCTCTACCATCCTCCTCCATCATCCATCCATCCCTCCATCACATCCCCCATCCATCCATTATCCTCCTCATCCATCCCCTCATCCATCCCTCCAAACCCTCCATTCATCATCCATCACATCCCAAAACCCTCCTTATCCTCCATCATCCATCATCCACCAACCATCCCCATCCACATCCATCCCTCAACCCTCCCTCCACCATCCCTCCCTTATCCATCCATCACCATCCCTCCTCCTCCCTCCCTCCATCCATCCATCATCCACCACCTCCCCATCACCATCCATCCATCCCTCCTCCATTTCCCCATCACCATCCCTCCATCCCCCCATCCATCCCCCATCCCTCCCTCCCTCCCTCCATCATCCCTCCATCCACCCTCCCCCCTTTTCCACCAACATCCCTCCTCCCTCCATCATCCCTTCACACCACCATCATCCATCCCTCCATCCATTATCAATCCATCATCCATCCATCCTCCACCATCCCTCCATCATCCATCCTCCATCCCTTTTTCCATCCCTCATCCACCATCCATCCACCATCCATCCCCTCCATTCATCCTCCATCCTCACCTCCATCCATCATCCATTCCCCATCACCCTCCATCCACCATCCATCCATCCCTCACCATCCCCTCCATCCATCATCCTCCACCATCCTCCACCATCCCATCCATCATCCCTCCATCCATCCATCCATCATCCATTCATCATCATCCTCATCCATCCATCATCCACATCCCTCCCCCAACATCCCCCATACCATCCCCCCCATCCATCCATCAACCTATCCTCCCTTCATCACCATCCATCACCTCCTCCATCCATTACCATCCATCATCCATCCATCCCCTCCATCCATCATTCATCCATCCACCTCCTTCATCATCCATCCATCATCCCCCCATCCATCCCCTCCATCATCCATCCATCCACCATCCTCCTCCCTCCATCCATCCATTTCCATCCCCATCCCATCCATCATTCATCCTCACCCCTCCATCCTCATCCATCTACCATCCATCCATCCATCATCCACCCTCCATCCACCTCACCATCCATCCATCCATTAAAACCCCATTCCCCCATCCATCCATCCATCCATCATCCCTCCATTCATCATCCCATCCATCCTCCCTCTCCCCTCTACCACCAACCATCCACATCCATCCTCCATCCCCCCATCCCTCCCTCCCATCCATTATCCACCTCTCCATCCACCATCCCCTCCATCCCCATCCATTCACATCCATCCTCATCCAATCCCCCAATTTTCCCTCATCCATCCATCCATCCCTCATCCATCCTCCATCCATCTTTTCCCCCATATCCATCCACCCCTTCCCCCATCCCTATCCTTTTATCCTCCATCCTCATCCATCACCCTCCCTCCCTCCTCACCATCCATCCTTCCTCACATCCCCTCCATATCCATTCCATCCATCATCCATCCATCCCTCCATCCATCCATCCACCATTTATCAATTTCCCCTCCCTCATCCAATCCATTTATCCCCCCAATCCATCCCTCCACCAACCCTCCATCCATCCTCCATCCAATTTTCCCTCATATCCACCATCCCCCCACCATTTCCTTATCCCTCCATCATCCTCCATCCATCATCCATCCATCCATCCACATCCATCCACCATTCCATCATCCATCCACCATCCATCCATCCATCCATCCATCCATCATCCATCCATCATCCATCCACCATCCATCCATCCATCCATTATCCATCCATCCATCCATCCATCCATCCATCCATCCATCCATCCATCCATCCATTATCCATCCATCCAACTTACAAAAAACATCACTATGTTTATGGCAGACTCTCAAATGATAAAATCTAAATCTGATTATGGTGAGAATAAAATAAGCCAAGGAAATAAATAACGGAAAGATAAACTATGCAAGTAGAATTCCTTTTCATGCTGAAAACTGAATAAAACATGAAAAGGTCTAAAGCACACAGAGCAGGTCAGATGCGTGCAGTCAGTGTGTTACTGAGCTCAGTCTTACTGGGGTTATCAGCATAGATCCTTCAAACAATTAAAACTCCTGCTCATCTCCAGACCTTAACTGCAGCTGCAATAACCTTGGAATATTACAAGTAATAAAAATGAACGATCCAAACTGAAACAGGATGGACTAACTTAAACTTCAGATGGGCAGACATCACTGTGTCTGACCTCTGAGACATCTCTGACCGTAACAAAGCAGCTAAATTAAAGAAACATTCAGGGATTCATCCAGAATGGACTGCTGCCGTGTTTCTCGCCAAAGAACATTCATTTAAAGCTTCTTTTCTTGGCTCTAACAATGTGTCCCATTTCAGATTAAATGTGCTCTGCAGTTACTTTTTTTGAGGCGAAAGCAGAAGGATACACAATGCATTTAAGCACCCAACATAAACAGATCCCAGGTGTCCCATCATGGAGCAGGACCTTTAGTCTTACCTTAGTGCAGCGCTTCTGGCTTTGGCCTTGTCAGACACCTGTCAGGACACAGAAACAGAAAGATAGATTTAGAGATTCAGTCTCAGCTCCTTTTTTTTTTTACGTCTTCCTGGTAATTATTCCACCATGAAAGGCAGGCATGCTTCTGTAGTTCAGTTTAAAGCAGCTGTTAGTGAATGACCCAGGAATGAGGTTCATTCAGACAAAATACAAGGAGAGCAGAATAATACCATAAATCAGGAGGTCCCAATCATTTCAACCCATGACCCCAATGTATACCAGAGCCTGGGAGCTTGAGGGTTCTGCCAGTATCTTTGCTGTTCCTATAGAACTTCACTTTCTGGACCGAGATGTCTGATGTATTTCCAGAGTTCTGCTGTAACCACTCCTCCAGTTTGGGAGTCACTGCCCCGAGGGCCCTAATGACCACGGGTACCACTGATGCCTTGACCTTCCAGGTTTTCTCCAGCTCTTCTCTGAGCCCCTGGTATTTCTCTAGTTTCTCATGTTCTTTTTTCTTGATGTTGCAGTCACTTGGTTGCTATGTCAACCACAACAGCTTTCCTCTGCTTTTTGTCCACCACCACAATGTCCGGTTGGTTTGCCATTACACGCGGCTCTTTAGCGCCCCCCTTATGGCTCCCTGGAGCTTTTTCAAAAATTTATGAAAATCCATTTTTATTTCATATGGTGTGCACGAGGTCAAACAAAAATTAATTATGTTTTCCAATGCAGTAAATATTTGTATAATAAATAAATTTAAACAGTAAATTGCATCACAGCCATAGAGATCAGTGGTCATAACTTGCAACCAGCATGGAGCGGTGCCAGGCAAACAAAGCGGTGGATGTGTTTCGGACCATGGATCCCAAAGGGAAACAAGGAACATAACTGATGAGAAAAGAGGATTCAAAGAATGGACAGAATCATTTGCTTTCATTATCAATGTGGAAGGATTGTCTGCATTTTTGCTTTGTAATGAAAGGTTGTCAAAAAATAAAAAGAAAAATTTGGAAAGGCATTTCCAGGGAAGGCTAAATATGCAGCAGATCAAGCTGGGAGGGAGAGATGATGGATGGATGGATGGATGGATGGATGGATGGATGGATGGATGGATGGATGGATGGATGGATGGATGGATGATGAATGGATGGATGATGGATGGATGGATAATGGATGGATGGATGGTAGATGGGTGATGGATGGATGGATGATGAATGGATGGATGGATGGATGATGGATGGATGGTTGGATGGATGGATAAACAGACTATTTCTGTTTAAAGCAGTTTTTTAAATTAAGAATCAGACTAATGAACTGTTTCAAGCATTTATCTGCTGTATTTTAATCTCTCTATTTTAATGCTTGCAATGCTTTTATTTTTATGCTTTTTGATTTTCTTCCTTACTTTCTTCTGATTTCTGGTGAACCTTTTGTATGAAAGCCACACAAATAAATGCGACTTGCCTTAAAAGGCAAACAGAAAAATATGGGCTGATTTTAATCCATATTTTCTTTAAAAGAAAAGTCCGGTCATATTCAGAATTCAAACTTCTTAAAATACTTTAAAGATGAAATTATTACATACTGTTCAATAAATGATGCTTTTAATTAAGAATAATTTTCATTTGAATGTGCTTTACTGGAGGCATCCATGTTTGTCAAAGAACACTACTGCCACCTACTGGTTTGTGACGTCACGGTGCGTTATCGGCTGTTGATCAAGTCCCAGTGCTGTATCTGGTGTTTGTCACAAAGCGCTATTATCCAAGTCATCTTGAAACCATTCTTCTTCCAAATGTTGGCTACATATTACGTGTTTTTTCTCTGGCCAGAAATTCGATTGTAAATCCTCCCTCTCCAAGTTGGCAATCCAACGACCAACCGGTCTGTGGAGGATCAGAAAACGGAAAAGTGAAATAACTAATTTTTTTTCCCCTTTTACCCGATGTTTTCCAACATCCAGCTGCCATGCACGTGGGCATTGTCAGATTCACTATAGCTCTGGTGAATTTCAATGGTGAAGTCCTCTGGAAATCTTCAATAATTGTTGATTGCAGATGTGTCTAGAAGTTCCCATTGATCTTGTTCGTAAAGCGGGGAGAATGGCGCTAGGCTTACCGCACCGTGATGTCACTGCCGGAAGATTGATTTAAGATTATTGATTAAAGCCAAATTCATTAAATCACTGCAAACATATTAGTTTTATGTATAGATAATGAAACATTGATCATTCCTTGCTGACCGGACTTTTCCTTTAACAGCTAATATTTCTAAAATGTACTTGGTGTAACAGATTGCTGTTGTCTCAAAAACAGCCAGTAAATACACTATATTGCCAAAAGTATTTGCTCACCTGCCTTGACTCACATATGAGCTTAAGTGACATCCCGTTCCTAATCCATAGGGTTCAATATGACGTCGGTCCACCCTTTGCAGCTAGAACAGCTTCAACTCTTCTGGGAAGGCTGTCCACAAGGTTTAGGAGTGTGTTTATGGGAATTTTTGACCATTCTTCCAGAAGCGCATTTGTGAGGTCGCACACTGATGTTGGACGAGAAGGCCTGGCTCTCAGTCTCCGCTCTAATTCATCCCAAAGGTGTTCTATCGGGTTGAGGTCAGGACTCTGTGCAGGCCAGTCAAGTTCATCCACACCAGACTCTGTCATCCATGTCTTTATGGACCTTGCTTTGTGCACTGGTGCACAGTCATGTTGGAAGAGGAAGGGGCCAGCTCCAAACTGTTCCCACAAAGTTGGGAGCATGGAATTGTCCAAAATGTCTTGGTATGCTGAAGCATTCAGAGTTCCTTTCACTGGAACTAAGGGGCCAAGCCCAGCTCCTGAAAAACAACCCCACACCATAATCCCCCCTCCACCAAACTTTACACTTGGCACAATGCAGTCAGACAAGTACCGTTCTCCTGGCAACCGCCAAACCCAGACCCGTCCATCAGATTGCCAGATGGAGAAGCGCGATTCGTCACTCCAGAGAACGCGTCTCCACTGCTCTAGAGTCCAGTGGCGGCGTGCTTTACACCACCGCATCCGACGCTTTGCATTGCACTTGGTGATGTATGGCTTGGATGCAGCTGCTCGACCATGGAAACCCATTCCATGAAGCTCTCTGCGCACTGTTCTTGAGCTAATCTGAAGGCCACATGAAGTTTGGAGGTCTGTAGTGATTGACTCTGCAGAAAGTTGGCGACCTCTTCGCACTATGCGCTTCAGCATCCGCTGACCCCGCTCCGTCAGTTTACGTGGCCTACCACTTCGTGGCTGAGTTGCTGTCGTTCCCAAACACTTCCATTTTCTTATAATACAGCTGACAGTTGACTGTGGAATATTTAGGAGCGAGGAAATTTCACGACTGGATTTGTTGCACAGGTGGCATCCTATCACAGTTCCACGCTGGAATTCACTGAGCTCCTGAGAGCGACCCATTCTTTCACAAATGTTTGTAAAAACAGTCTGCATGCCTAGGTGCTTGAATTTATACACCTGTGGCCATGGAAGTGATTGGAACACCTGATTCCAATAATTTGGATGGGTGAGCAAATACTTTTGGCAATATAGTGTATCTACTGAAGTCAATGACTGGATGCAATCCTTAGATAAAATATAAATCTTTCTCGATGCTTTAATTGAATTATCTTTGTAAGGTCCCCTGAAGGTGTGTTGTAAAGCGAACTAGATAATAATAAAAAAAAAAAAAATTAACTGAAAGGTGCTTTACAGAATTAAGGCAATTATCATTCAAGCCTGTTGAATATTGATGGTTTGAAATACTTTAATGTGAATTGAATTAAAGCGACACTAACCTGTGTTTCTTGGGTTGTGGGTATTTATAGAGAAACTGATGTAAAAACAACATAATTTAGTATAGTTTGAAGATATTATAAACATCCACTCATATTTCTTCCGGCGACCCTCACTTTTATCCCCTCTTCCTCATTGTTTGACCCCCTTTTTCTCCCCGCTTGTCTTTCTCACTTCACCTCAGCCAAATTTCATGCTTATATTCCGATTCAACTTTTCCCCTCTTTCAGGCAAAGAAAAGGGAGATTATGTTTGACAGGAAAGCCCCTCCTCCTCTTCCTCACCATCCTATCCCTTTGTTAGCTCCCATGCAGTTCTGTACATCACTTACGAGAACAAAACAGCACCGAAACAAACGAAAGAAACCCAATATCTCCAAATGTCAGGCCAGTAATTTCTCTTCAAGCGCTGTTACTCAGCAATTAAAATGAATTACTCAACACCGGAAAATGGACATTTTCTCTTTTCCGGCTTGTTGTTTCCTGCCCTCTCTAGGAACGAGGTGATTAACTGAGCCAGTGAAGTTTCTGGGAGATCGATGCAGAGCTGCAGGCTACAACAACAAACCTCCTCACATCTTTGGCTTTTGGAGACTTGAGGAAGGCTAGCAGAGAGGATCTATGGGTGAATATATTACCCAGCTGGTGGCTTGGCTCAGATTTAAATTAAGCACCACCCAACCAGCCTTAAGACGCAGGATCTCTGCTATCGGAAAGCAGCTGGAAATGTTGTTCCTGATAAATAGAACAAGATTTAGCAGAAACAGGGGAAAAAACAAAGCTTAAAGCACTACGAGAGCTACACGATCTCCTATTTTTATGTGGGTGCCAGTTGTTTCACAGCAGGCTTGGCAGTGCACACACATCAAGACGCCCACATCTTAAACAGAAACCAAACAATAATTTCATTCTCGTCTTCCTGGTTTGTTTTGCATGAGAGACTTTATGAAGCAACTCCAACACCTGAACGCTGAGTATGAAATCTCTTCTGCTGATGCAACTCTTGCTCCGTGGTTGCCTGACTGAAATACAACCAGTTTTCATTTCAAAATATCTCCACATTTTAGGAAATCTTCTCTGGCAGAAGTGGGATTTATGACGGTGGTGTTGTTTTCACTTTTAGCTGCCAAAATGGTCCTGACCTGTTCAGGGTTAGATTCTACCAAAACCCTGAAGTCTTTCTGTTAGCACGCACCAAAATAGTAGCAGCAAGGCTTGCCAC